CGGAGAACTCCAGACAATAAACAAGCACTATTCGGCAGATCCGGATGAAATCCATCCAGCCATAGTGCAGCCGCTGGCACGGGGTGTTACCCGGGCCGCTAACTAAACCTTTTATGGAATCATTATAAACTGATACCTAACAAATGACTGGCGTATAGCTACCGTAGTAGCATTGCGCAAGGCTTGAATGAAATGCGAAGTAGAAATTACTAGACCCGTTAGTCTAACGTCACTCCTTTGTAAGTGCCCAGAGCGGCTGAGCAGAAGGTAGATTTTTCTACACCTGAATTGCACTCCACTTCTGACACCAGCACAGCATGGCTTAATTCAACGGAAATCATGTCATACAAGTCCGCTTGTGTTATTAGATGAAGTCACTCAGCATTTTGGTGAGGACAAAAATGGAGAAGTCTGCTTCTTCGAGTTCTGTAAAGCATTTGACTTCAGCAGCCTTCAATTGGTGGATTTCAAATTTCGGGGCCTAGGCATAGTAGGCGGAGAAAGGGATTAGATTGTAGCCTTTTTAAGCAATCACATCTTTAGAGTCAAGGTGGGTGACTACATTTCTCACCGTGAGATGGTTACAAGTGGGCTTCCCCAATGCTCAGTGCTAGGCCCCATCGTTATTCTTTTATTCATTAAAGATCTGGCGCAGGATCTTCACAACCCTCGTTTCATGTTCGCTGATGATCTCAAAATGACAGGACTGGGCCTGCGAAGGGACCCAGATGTAGTCCATCGATGATCTGTTTAGTGTGACTTACCTTTGAATCTAAGCAATGAGCTGGGGTATACTCATTATTATTGAATTGAGCTTCCATGCGGCATTACCGCAGATGACGGATCAAGGGGTTCTTATGACCTAAGAATTTAAACCCTCAGCTCACTGCTCCATGGCAGCGTATCAGGCTAGCTGGCAGATGTTCAGGTTGTGGCACAGTGACATACAGACTGCCTGAGGTATCCTTCACGCTTTATAAATCGATTGTCTAATCACACGCGGAGTTTTATGTGCAGGTAATTTTTTACTTTTATATCCACTTTTATATGACATGATTGTACAGCTTGTTTCAATACACATGATAACTTACAACAAAATACACATTCTATTCGTTACCACGCATGTGTTCTCCCAGTGTTGCTGAAACCTTACGCCTTTATTATCAGTTATCGGCAAACGGTCTGTTTAATATCGCAGCCATCGCTTTTAGCTCCGCTGCACACTATGAACCGAAGTCACACATCCGAAATACAGAACCAATCGACCAGCCAGACAATCCTTCTGAGTCTGCTCCATGTATCATTTCTTTCATTATTACTCGTATATGTAGTATCTTTTTCACTAAATGGGCACCGTATTACTGGACGAATATAACATGTTTAGAAAGAGCGCAAACCATAGCTACCCAAATGGTAACGGAGCAAAAGGAGAGAGCTATGAACGGCGGTTAAGAGAACTTAACCTTTTCTCGATAGAGAGTAGACGAGTGAAGGGATATCTGATAGAGACCTTTAAAATTGTAAAAGATCTATCTGAACTCAATCTGGATGACTTGATAACGATTACTCCTGCTATAAACTTCAACACAACCACGCCAGGTTAGCAGTATGGGCCACCTTCGCACACAGGATCATACCTATGTGGAAAAGGTCACCCGCAGAAGTGGTGAACTGCGCTAATGTTTACGCCGTCAAGGTGGCCCTGGACGCATGTTGGTCGGCAACGTTTCTTCAAATTTGGTCTGTCATATTTCCAGTGAGAACACCAAGGATAAAATCCACTTTGGTGAAATGGAGCAAACTGGGGCTTGTACGGCTTCTGAGGTTGCCCAGCTGAAGAGAGTTCAAAGGGCTGCTATACGCCTCGTCGAAGGACTACGTGGGATCAGCTGGGAAAGCCGATTGAGTGCAACGGGATTGTTTGCTATACCATCAAGACCACTGAGAGGTGACCTAGTCTACACGAGACGCATCATCCGCGGTGGCTTCGGCTCATAATTTCAGTTGGAATTCCTCCTGATGGACAACAACGGTATCAGGAGACATGCACTGAAGCTACGCAAGAAGCATTCAAATGGTCTGCCGATGATCTATCGTCTGTCGAGGAGGGTGACAATTCTCTGGAATGCGCTTCCGGAGGACGTAATGGAAGAGACTAATAATAGCATCCTTGAACAAAATCTCGATAAAGTTATGCAAGAGTACTGGACTGGTGACATTTACTTATCAGTCCAGTGGAACATAGTGAGTAGGGGCTACTACAGAAACTCCCATTGCCCTTAACATTTGAAGATTGGAGTGTTGGATTTATTCTCAAACTGACTGTCTTTGCATATGTGTTCTGCGCATAAAAAAGCCTGAGGACCTTGATATCTCTAACCAATGAGGTGAAAAGAACCCTTACTTGTTGTACTCTTTTCAGTATACCCTCAAAAAGGCAAAATTGCGGGGGTTACAGGAACCGAATGAACTGTACGCAGAGTTTGAAGCTGCTCCCATCCGCTGTCAATACAACGAAGTAGACGCTCAATCGGTAAGAGTTACATTCGTCCTGTACAAACTAAACGGAACCCCAGTTCATTGGTGCCAGAAACTGGACTTCTGGATCAGCCGCAGTCTTGTCACCTGTCTTATTTCCTCCTGTCTTGATTGAACACTACCTGGGTTAAACCAAGGCACTATTTACAAATCAATGACCGATCACAGGTCAATCAGTTTTACAGAGATCGTTGGTGGTTAATCGCTTTTCGTAAGCAGTGTTCTAATTTTCCAATTTTTTGTAAATGGTCACTGGTTATCAATGTGAAACTTTAAAAAAATGTCACCTTTTAAATGTATGCACGTACGGATGTGAACGAATGTAGCGGTTGTGGAGTGTATGTGGCCGAAGGTATCCAGTGCAAACGGTGCCACCTTTGGTATCATATAGGCTGTTGCAAGTTGACGAAGAGATGTTATGACCTACACGCATTACTCAGATCCCTGAGATGAATCGTTGTCTACTGTATAGTTTTAATAGGGTAAGCTCACGCATCCCCAGGTACAAGACTGTGGGCAACATCGATAAGCCGGATCAGCTTAGGAAAACGAAACCTCAGATGGCCAAGCGTAAGAAACAAAGCCGTAAGGAGAAAGGTGGATCAGATGCTAAAACGAAAAAAAAAGCGGCCAACGTAGCCGACAAAAAGGGGAGCGGAGGTATGCTCAGAGCGTGTGTTGGTTGGCGGGGAAGCCTCTCTTGACTGAAATTTTCAAGTGTCATAGGATGGTACTGTGGAAAGGCGAAAGGGCCCTACATCCCGATCTATATTGGTAGTCTCCAACAGCATGTACGCGATAGATCGTCTATTGTTCGGAGCGGTGGCATTAGAAGTCATCACCATGAGCAGCATAACTGTCACCCCAGATAATGGTACGGCAGTCTGTAGTATCAACTGTCCATCCAAGAGTGAACAGGAAGTATGACTGATACAGAATTCAATAAATAAGCTAGGAAGAGTAAGAGTGCCCGTAAAAAATAAGTAGGCCACTAACTCATCGAAGGCTCCAGGTCAGGTGTCCATAACAACGGGCACATACGCACCAAAGGGGTCACTGTGGAGTAAACCAACACCAAAGCCTAAAGAGACTTCGGTGCGAGAATTGAGTGAAAGCGAAGCGGAAGCGGTTGGTGAGAACAAAACAACCACCGCTGCTAGTTCCGTAGCTGTTGCAAAGCCAAGAAGTGTGCAGCAGAGAATTCCGTTTCTTCAGAGAAAGATAATCCCAGGGACGGAGCCTGGGGAACCTTCTCACCCAAAAGGGTGTCGCAGTTCCGCAGCTGGACAACCGTTGTAGCAAATACGCACAAACGCCGTTCAGAATTGGGGCACAATTACCAGTCCCGGACGGGCGGACCTAGACTTTCTCAAATAGACCTCATGCCGCAGGCATCTGCCCGGGTAAATCTAAGGGCGGCATGTCGTGGATAGCGGAGGCTGCCTCCAGCTGGTACCCAACAGCAAAATCGGGGTCATCCCTCGGGTATTAAGCCCGAGGACTCCAAGAGTATAAAAAGGCCCCAGTTGAAACAGCTACAAGTATTGCTGTTTGGTATAATAACGCGTGTAGTGTCCAGGATAAATGAAGCGAGATTGCAACGCTCTCCCAAAGATCCGAAATCGTCGTTATTTCGGAATCCTGGTTGCAAGTTGTTTCCGGCCTTCGGGGGCTATACTAGTTACCAGCAAGATAGAATAGACGTGAGACTGGGGACCAGTACTAGCTAAGTCTTCCCTCAGTCAGTGGGAAACGCAGCTAGTCTCAGCAAATATTTAAACAGCAGAATGCTGTGTCCAACTGGGAAGAGAGATGATAGCATTCTATGTATCTGTCATCGCCGTCTTCTGACTCCTCGAAAAGATACAGATTATTTCTGGATTATGCAAAACACCCGGGAGAGGTATCAGAGGTTTAATAATTATGATAATAATGTATATTTTACGAAGCCCGTGAAGCATGCACAAAGCATGATTAACTGTTGAAAATAATTATATGTACAACAAAAGTGCAGGTATATAGAAGGTTCAATTAGAAGATATACATAAGGGAGATGGTGGGGGAGCGGAAGGAAAACGCAATTCAAACAGAACACAAGGCAGACAAGGTCACAGAAGTAGACGTGCAGAGTGGAGGAATTCACTGGATAAGCATGTCAATGGAAATTAATGGAAGAGCGAACCTTGTATCGAGAAGATTCGGCGTGAGGAATTTATGGGAGGAAAACACGGATCGACGGTTGGTGAGACAAAGATATGGAGACTCGCGGATAGAAATGAAAGGGAAGGAGGAGTACAGCGAGTTCATACATTTGTCAAAGTACATGTTTCTCCGTCTGCTGCAACACACCTACTGAGGGCACATTCATTGGGTTCGGGGCTTCGATCGGTAATGGATTGATTTAGATTATTTAGGCGTTAGTCGCTTTGATGTGGGACTGACTACACGCTAGACATCCAACCTTAAAACACCTTTGGAGTGAGACAGGGGATGTGATTCTCAACCTGGTCCGGACGCATGTAGCCAAAACGATGGAGATAGCCGTGCCAAACAACCATTGTCGGAGCCAAATTGTCCTTTGTGGGTGTAGACCCCAAGTCTTTGACCGGCCCAAGCCAACCGAGTCTGGAAGTAAAAGGCGATACACAACAATCCGGAGTAATACCCAGCTGAGAAAGGGATGAGGGGGAACACAGAATGTCACGAATGCTATGCAGAGTGGAATAACGCAAGGTAGTATGTATACGTACTAATATATATGTATAAAGTAGACAATAGTAGGTCACAATATTTATAGAAGTATGAACCTGTAGAGATTTTGTTCCACGGATCTAGCTTTGAGACTGAATCCGTGTAGTGATATGAATTTAGTTGAGAAAGCGGACACTGCTACCTGGTTATCATGTGCCACCGATTTGGACGAATTGAGACGGGAAAACAGGAGATTAGTCTGATACAAGGTAAGTAGCAATAAGTCACAATACTCATAGAAATATGCATCTGTAGAGATTTTGTTTCACAGATCATAATAGGCGACTTCAACTGTGCGGAGATAGCCTGGGCACATGGATGCACGACTGAAGGTTCTTAACGTTAAAGGTTCCTGAAGTGGTTAAAGGAAAGAGCTCTCAGACGCGTGACGAGAACCACAAGTTATACAGGGTGTAGGCACTGGCTTATTGATACTCCGAGCTAATACCGCTATATAGCAAAAGAACGTTTACAAGCAAACAGAACGGGACGATTAACGAAACATGTAAAATGGGAGTTGGTTGGTCACTACAGAGCTCTCTCCTAGATGGCTAGGGAGAGCCTTTGATAAGGGTACATGCACTGTTTGCCGTGGTTTGCTGGTCCAAAAAATTAGACCGCTTGGTGGGTTGTCACGGAAATATTGGGAATTAACTGTCAAAATAGTTCCAGTTGAAGTGACAGTGGCAGAAGATTTCCGCCTGAGTTGTAAGGATGTTGCTTGCTCTTGACCGAAGGTTTTCTCCGGAGTTTTGAATGCAGAGCCTAGAAGAGAAGGGATGAAAGAAAGTCGAAGCAGCACCCGTTGGAGTTGGTCGGTGAGGCAAAGACAAGCACAATGACAAAAGGGTAAGGATTTTGTTTTTTGTTTTATTTTTATTGTGCATATGCATATGCGTATGCATACAGAAAAACGTGAACCAGGGTGGAAAAGATTTTTAAAATGACAAAAGGATTTTTTGCTTTTTTCCGGTTTTTGCATGCATTTATATCCATAAGAATAAAAAGAAATATCGCAAATTAAATAGTTCTGTACGTTGCTAAGTGCAAAAACGTGCTACAAGGCAAAACATACAGGTTACTTAAGGACATTCCTGTGACTAGTGTTCCAATGGGGTTGGTCGAGATCAGGTGCCTGCTTCAAGGGTGTCGCGGGGTTTACCGTAATGGAGGGAGCAGGAGAAGAGTTGCAGGTGGCGCAACAGGTGGGGACCATTGCTGGAAGTAACGGTTCCATCCAAATGCGTACGTTTGAGTCGAACAGTGCTGACGGTCTTACTTTTACCGTTGCGCTCTATGACGTAGGCTTTCTCTAATCGTCACGGCATCTTATGTAGGCCGCTGTATTGAGGTTGCAGAGGTGCGCGAACCTCTGCCCTGAGTAAAACGTGCAAGCGTTCGGCTACCCGAGAGGAAGGTAGGCTAGAGGTGTTTGCTTGTGGGGTGGTTGAATACGTAACTGTTGCATATGATGTACTAAACGAGCTGCATCGTCAACGTAAGTGAAGTTATTTGGTGGGGTCTGAGCCACCATTTCTCCTGGAAGACTTGTAGTGACCATGATTGTACGAAGAAAGGGAGCAATCCACGGGGACGTTTTCCGTTCATATTTTCTTCACAATCAACTCTGACTCGAACTGTGATATTTCTTTGTTTTACTTCTGTTTGTTTTACCGAGCACGGTTTTCCGCTCAGGCGT